TAGAGCAGAAATTACAGCATAGTACGAGTTCCTTTATTATGGAGAGTAGCTTGCGTTTCTTGGAGATTTGAGGTTACTCTCATCTTTCCAGGTTCTTTCCAAAGGGGGACTTTTGTCTCATCAGATTGACCGATCTTTTTAGGATGAAACAATGCTCTAGATTTATTGAAAGAACCTAGATTTATAGCTTCATTTACTGACAACCCTCCTAGCAAGCAATTCTTGCCTATTTTTTCGTTATAATTTTCTATTTTATCCAGCAGATCTTCATCATTCACCTCTACTGTTATAAAATTTTCATTTTCCTTATCAGGATATAATCTCACTTTTAACTCTCCTAAACTAGTATGGAAAGTGAGTGCTATATCACTACCATCTGCAAGGTCTGTATAATTCCTTATTCCTCCTTGAGTTATAATTTCTACCTCACTTTCACCAATCTTTATTATATTTCTTCCATATACTGCTTCCTGAGTGAATCCTAAATCTCTTTCTCCATCTGTAATCTTTGCAACATCTATCGTGCTATCCTCTGAATATTCTAAATAAAAAGAGGAGTTATCCATTTTTGCATTTTTCACCTTACCATTGGATGCACTTTTAGCAATTTCTATAAATTTTGTAGTACGATTGATATAATCTTCATAGGCTTTTACTATATTGATTTTATGGCCTTCAAACTCCCATTCCAGAATATCAAATAAATCCTCAGCATCTACGCTATACAACATTGCTCCTCTTGATAACAATTTACATACTATGTCACTAGCAATTTCAAAGTTACTGTCTAATTCGCCGGTTTTTTTCACCACAAGATCCATGAAATTATATATTTCTTCTCCAAATTCATCATAAAATGATCTGGGAAAATTAAATCTTACCCCAGACTGTATAACTTGACCTACAATTTCTGATAGTTGATACATATTTTGAACTTTAGATGCTTTTTTGAATAATTCATCCAGCTCCATATTTTGATTTAACATTAAATTATACCATAAGCTAGATTCTGGCACATATTCTTCCATTCTATAGCCCATTTTGTAAGTTACTCCTGCTTCTGAAAAAAGTAATCTTCTTACTTCAAGGACAGTTTCAAATTCACAAAGATTTAAAACCACTTTTAAATCTTGATCATTTTTATGTTTATGTAAACACTCCTTGAGACCTTCAGTAAGGCCAACTGAATCACCTTGAAAGCGCAACTCATTAGATAATTCCTTTTTTAATCTTTTCTGATTGTCAGTGAAAAAGCACTCTATATATTTGTTATCATTATCAATTGCAACATCTAGAGGAGTTTTTCCCTGTTTATCAAGTATATTGAGCTTAGCTCTGCTCTCTAGAAACAAATTTATACTTTCTTTATCTAATCCAACTTTAGCAGCATAATGCAAAGGGGTTTTTCCTTGATTATCTTGCTGATTAGGATTAGCCCCTGCTTTTAGAAGAGAAGCTATGCTGTTAAATCCATTAGCACAATGCAAGGGTGTCTGCTCTCTATCATTATGTATGTTAGGGTCAGCTCCTGCTTTTAAAAGCAAACCCACAGCATTATCATAGTCTTTATCTTTATCAGCTATGCTTGATAATGCATGTAGTACAGTTAATCCAGACTCTCCCCTTCTAAGATTAAGAACAGTTTTTAAATCTTGATTGTCTTTGTTGTCGAGTAAAAACCTCTCAAGATTCTCAGCATAATTATTTCCTGTGGAGCTTAAAATACTTAACAATCCTTCATTTAACTTCTTTTCATTTTCACTTCTTATTAAGTTGGATCTGTGAACAAACCATATACGCATTAAGTTATCAAACGTATCTTCAGTAATATCCATTAAAGAGCAATCACGAAATGTGAAACTACAACGTTTAAATGAAGAGCATAAATATTCTTTGATCAGCTGATACTTGTCATTCACTTGCTTTTTCTTGAACTTTTTTGGTAGCCTTTTCAAGGCTTTATCTGTTTTTGAACACCTTTGCTCAAAACTCGACTCTGGATTTATTCCATCAAGAAGAGAAGCGTAACCTAAATCTGATTCCTGACTACACTCACCTTTATCATAGTCATTTTCTGTTTGAGTAAATTTGCCTGCTTTGATCTTTACTTCACTCGGTTCATTGGAAAGTAACATTTCAGGTTGAAAGCATAGAAGTTTAGACTTTCGATCATCATTTTCTTTTTGTAATGTACTCAACTCTCTAGTTAAATCCTGCTTTTCTAAATTCAATGGTCTATTTGGTTCTGGACACTTTTGCTTAAAACTCGACTCTAGCTTTATTCCATCAAGAAAAGAAGCGTAACCTAAATCTGATTCCTGACTATACTCACCTTCATCATAGTCATTTTCCGTTTGAGTAAATTTGTCTGCTTTGATATTTGCCTCACTGAGCTCATCTAAGAGTGATCTCCCGGGTTGAAGATGTAGAGCTTTTAATTTTAGATCTTCATTTTCTTTTTGTAATCTATTCAACTCTTCAATCAAATCCTGATTTTTTAATTTCTCTTGAGTTACATCCTCTCTCAGATACTCAATTTCTTGTAAATACTTATTATCATCTAGTAACTTCTTTATTAAATCTTCTAGCTGTTTTTCCTCCTCTTTCCACTGATCTTTTAACCTATTTATTAAAGCTTCAGCTTGATCCAAATCTTTGCTTAGCTTTTCATTTGTTATGTTCATGAAATGAATTTCATCTTTTTTATCCTTTAACTCCTCATTTAAGAGGTTAATTGTAGAATTCTTAATAAAAACCTCATTTTGCATATCCCTCGATAACTTTTCTACCTGTTGTTCTAATCTTTCATTTTCTTCACAGATGTTACGTGCATTTCTTTCCTGTTTCTCCATTTT